ATCATTATTTTTGGCGACCAAATATTATTGGTCGCAGAAGGTTATATTTTGGCGACTGAAAAATGAGTTGGTCGCAAAAAGTGGTATGCTTTTGGCGACTAATTACAAATTTGGTGGCAGAAGATCAAAAATAAGTTGGTTGTGGAATTGGGGACCAAAATTTTAGTCGCCAAAAACTTATTTTTCCCGACCAAAAATATTTTAGTTGCCGTATATTGAGTTTTGGCTACTAAAACAATTTAGTTGCCGAATGAAAAATAATTTTTTTTTTCTTTGGCGACCAAAAACTTATTTTCAACAACCAAAAAAAATTAGTCGTCAAATTAATACTTTTAGCAACTTATATTTTAGTCGCCGTTGATTGAGATTTGGCAACTAAAAAAGTTTGTCAGCGAAGGTATCTTTTCTACGACTAATATGGTCTTTTCGTCGGCAAAAGTTTGGGAAGGAAATTTGAAATGTGGAGGTGGGAATTGAAATTTTTTTGCGACAAAAAAATTTGGTTGCTGATTGTAAAATGACGTCGTTTTGTACCAGAAAAATAATTTTTTTTTTTAAAAAAAAAACCCCTAATCTCCCCTGTCTTTAGCTCGCTCTCTGTGTCTCTCTATGTTGGTCCGCCCTCTCCCTCTCTCTGTGTTCTTTCTCTCAATCGGTGCCCACTCTCTCTAGCTCATCGAAGTCCCTCACCACCGTTGCTCACGTCCGTCGCACATCGCCATCGCCGCAAATCGCCATCGCCCTCTGTCTTTCTCTCGCACGGAGCGAGCGATTGCTGGGTATTCGCTGCTGTGGTTGTTGATGTGGGCCACCATGATGGGTTTGCCGATCCAGCTGTTGTCGACGAGGATCGGTCTCGCCAGGGGGAGGCACTTGGCGGAACTATGTAGGGAAGAGTATCCGTATTGGGCTGGGTTGTTGTTGTGGTTCATGTCAGAGCTTGCTTTGATTGGGGCTAATATTCAGGAGGTGATTGGAAGTGCAATTGCTATCAAGATTCTCAGCAATGGGTTTTTTCCTATCTGGGCTGGTATTGTTATAACCGCTTCTGACTGGTTAGTTTTCGGGGAATTTGTTTTCTGGTGATTGGTTACTGAGAAAAGATTGGGAAAATTAATTTGGTTTTTTTAATTGTTTATTAGGATTTGAATTGCGATTATTGATCTGTTTATTGTTTGGAACCTGAAAGAACAAATAGTTCTTCACTTTAAGCAATTGAAATTGAAATTTTCTTTTTTAGATACCAGAATAGCAAATTGACACCAAAATTGTATGATTTATACTAATAATAATTGTTGCCCTGTTCTGTTGTTGCTAATTTCACATCATATAGTACTTATTGAGTTGTCTATATTATTTTTTATGCTCAAAATGTCTCATTTGCTTCTTTTTTTTTCTTGAATTTAAATCTTTTAAGACACTAATTTGTCAGTTAATTGAAAGGTGCTTTCTTGTTTCTTGGCCTTATTACATTGGATCTCATTAAATGTTTACCTTTTTTCTAATAATTTACTGCTACTGATTCTGAAATTAAGCGATTGCTACACAAAAATGAAAGTTCATTCTATTGATAGGTTTTGTTTTGTTTTACTGTCGTGAACAGTTTCATCTTTTTATTTTTGGAGAACTATGGAGTGAGGAAATTAGAAGCTGTTTTTGCAGTTCTCATCTCAACTATGGCATTATCGTTTGCCTGGATGTTTGCTGATGCAAAACCTAATGGAAAAGAACTTATCGTAGGTGAGAAACGTATTTTGTTTTGTTTTGGATTCTCCTCTTAACATACAATTAAATTTATGATTTCTATAGTCATATGTAAAAACAGAATTCATTCCGCTTTCTAGGTCTCTTGGTTCCAAAACTCAGCTCAAAAACAGTTAGGCAAGCTATTGGAGTGGTGGGATGCGTTATTATGCCTCACAACGTATTTTTGCATTCTGCTTTTGTGTTGGCTAATATCTCTGATACATCAGTTATTGTTGCCCACCTTTATAATCTATACATGAATATATAGTAAACCTTGACATAATATCAAAGGATTGCTGTTCCTGCAACTGAAAGGGGCAAAACTAAAGAGTACCTTTATGAAAGATAACTTTTCTATTACATCAAGAAAGTTCTTTTCTAATTCAGTTCTTAATTAGGGGAGGAAATTACAAGATCACATGGTTGAAATGGTGATCAAAACTTACATAGTTCGATATCCAAATCTGGAAACTCAAATGACTTTTCGATCTCTAGATTATAGTTTTTTCATATATCCTATGGAAAATGAATAATTGGAGAAACTCAATATATGACATCCTATCTGGAAGGATGTGTGGATAGTGGTAAAGCCCTCTTGTCCCCTTGTGATCGTTCCATATGAAGCCTTCTTGCCTATTTCTTCTTACAATGCAGAGATGAATGGTGAAACTCTTGGGTGGCTTTAGATGACAGTGATGAGTATAGAGATAAATCATCAATAACATGTTAGTATTTAGCCTTTAAATACTAAGATGACAGTGTTAGTATATTATTCCTGTGTATTTTGATTATTGTGTTGTGAAACTATGTCTGGTTGCTTGTCCTTTGTTAGCGAATTGGTGTTCGTATTGATCACAGATGGCGGAGGTAATTGGGCCAAGATTGTACAGTTGCTGTAATTGTCGAAACCATGTTACGCTTCACGATGATGTTATTTCTAAAGCCTTTCAGTTGAAGATTTTTTTTTTCTTCTAATTTTCTTGAACTTATAATTATGGTGGTAACTTGTATATTGTGTAATTGATCATCCAAACAATGAGGACCTCATTTGCATTCCACCAATAGGAGTAAGGTTTGTTTGGTTTTTGGGAAAGATAGGAAAAGGAAACAAATTGAAGAATTTATCCTTGATTTTTTCATTAATTAGGAGCTGAGAAATCATGACTAGACTTGATTGTGATATCCTGGTTTGGAATCATAGTAAATAAAGCAAAGAAAGAAAGAAAATAAATACAAAAGAAAAATATTTGTCATTAAAGTGATTTAGTTGGGAAATGAAATTTTGTTAAACACAACAACTTAATCTATATATATAAAATTTATATTTATTTGTGGTAAAATTGATCTTCTTGTGCCTTTGCTAAAAGGTTGTTCAAGAGGCTTATATATCCCAAAATTTTGTGATTTTGATCTCAGGGAAAGAATGGTCGGGCATTCTTGTTCTCCCATGCAATGAACATTGTTGCTGGGCCCAAAGAGTTGATGTATATTGATCTTGCTCTCTTGCAATGTTGGTTCTATAGATCAGTCCTTGAGGAGGTTTGGTCTCACAAAATTAGCATTGTTACATTGTAAATACTAATTAGTAGTCACCAAAGAGGGGAGAGCCAAACCTGGACGATTTTTGCACAGAACAAATTGGATACAAATAGATGGTTTTCTCATTGAAATTGATGGCCCAGTGGTTCAACTGCCAAATATATCTTGGGTTTATTACTTTTATGTTTTCATACTTGTCAGAATATTTTTTTTTACTCCCATGTATTCCTCTATTTGCTTCACAGAATCTTCGCAGTGGATTAATTGAATAGATGCTTCCTAAACTCCTACTTTATACTATTCTCAAATCATCTTCAGGATGGAGTCTTCCTTGGAGCGGATACAAGAGCCACTGAAGGGCCCATTCTTGCTGATAAGAATTGTGAGAAAATCCATTTTATGGCACCCAACATTTACTGCTGTGGAGCAGGCACTGCTACTGATAAAGAGGCACTGACACGTATTTCCAAGTCTACTTTCTATATCAGAATATATGTATTTGTTAAGCTTTTACAGCACTACATCCATTTTAAACTAAGTTTCTAAAATATTAGTGTTCTAGACATGGTTAGTTCCCAGTTGCAGCTACACAGGTACCATACTGGTAAAGAATCAAGGGTTGCGATGGCTCTTACCCTTTTGAAGTCCCATCTTTTTAGGTAAGGTTACATAATTCAAGGTTTGTTTTTCTCAACAATATGGTACTTTTTGTGTGAAAAGATTACAATGCAAGAAGGCCTGATTCTTTTGATTACAATCTAGTTCAAATGAAAGTAGTAATATGATAATTAGCATATAACCCAACCATACAAAATGTAATATGAAGGTAGTTGAATTCTTAATTTTGTTGTCCATTTGGATTATGGGAAAATTGAAGCATTAGTTACTGTCCTCTCTCAATGTACTTCTTGGGTTTTTGATTATACTCTGTTTCGTTGTTGAGTAAATGTAGTAAATGTACTATTCTCAAATTTTCTAGCTCAACTTAGCCTTCTAGAAGTAAATAGCATTAGTTAACTGAATTCTTAATTTTGTTGTCTGTTTGGATGATGAGAAAATGGAAGAAGGAATTGCAATTTTAAGATATATTTTGATTTTGAAAACTAAACTTGAGCTTTAAAAACAAAAGTAGTACCTATGCTCATTCGAGCAGGGGTTATACTTTTTTTAGTTTTTTAGGTAATGACAAAGATAATGTATTGAAGTGCATTTTTCTGTGATTGGATTGAAGTTTGTCAATTTCTTCAATTTTAGTTTAAGTTTTTGTTGGTTTCACATCTATCTCAATTCACTGACAGTATCAGTACATTAGATTGATTTCTATGTTTTCTTTTAGTTTTAGGGTTTTTTTGGGTTTCATTCACAATAAGACCTTGCTATCTAAGGATAAGTTAGAAAATCAGACATAAAAAAAAGAAAAATAAAAGAGAGAGAGAGAGAGAGAGAGAGAGAGAGAGAGAGAGAGAACAAAAAGAAAGAATTTTGTATGTTTGTATCTTCCTATCTTCTTCACATTTTGAATTATGTAGTACAAGTACTTGAGTTACAAGTATTCCTGCAACTGTGCTTACTACAACTTTGTGCAATAGAATTTTAGTTTTCTGAAAACCAATTACAAGATAAAACTCAAGATTTTCCTTTTTACCCTTTTCTTTTTTCTTTTATTTTCTTAGGAAGTTGTTGAGCATTTATTATATAGTTGTTCAAATAGTTTTTAATTCCCCATCTAAATCTGAGAAATGAAGAAATCTATTGGCTATTTAGCTGATGCTTGGTGGTTATTGTGGCTGAATGGGCTACTTTGCAGTCTTCACAAAGGGTGATAGCCATGGTTCTGAAAACTGTCCATTTTGTCACGAATTGGCTAGTGTGTATCTAGGTTTTAATTTGTAACTCCTGTCTTGTTATTCAGAGTGACGTATAACAAGGCATTGTGGTTTCACTAATAGATAGCTTTTGTTGGAAAATTGAGTATCTTATTTCACGTGATTACAATGATCACCTTACTCTTGTACGGGCTTATGAGGGCTGGAAAGAAGCTGGAAGAGACGTAGCTGGATATGAATACTGTTGGAAGAATTTTCTTTTTGCTCAATCAATGAGAGCTATTGATGCTCTGCGAAGGGAGTTCTACTCTTCACTTAAGGAATATGTTTTAAATTTTAATGCTAGATGGATGTGAATTGGATGATTGTATAGATTACAAGCGGATTTTTAATTGAAAGAATATGTAGTTTGGAATTACTTGTGGATGAAAACTTATAATAGTTGTTGACTTTAATTAAACAGGTTCAGAATTTGATGATTTATATATTTTGTTGAATGTTCATGATTCAGGTGAATTGTTGGTTTCATTGATTATCGTAAATTACAGATTGTATTGAATGGATTGGATAGATTATTATGAATTATAGGTTTATTTTGTTGCATGTTGGCGCAAACATTTCTTTTGGTGACCAAACTTTTGTTGCATGTTAGCGCAAACATTTCTTTTGGCCACCAAACTAAGAGGTCGTAGAATGTCACAATTAGCGACCAAAATTTTTGATCGTGGAATGTCACAATTGGCGACCAAACTTTTTAGTCATGGAATGTGATAATTAGCGACCAAACTTTTTGGTCGTGAAATGTGACAATTGGCGACCAAACTTTTTGGTCGTGGAATGTAATAATTGGCAACCAAACTTTTTGGTCGTGGAATGTGACAATTGGCGACTAACATGTTTGGTCGGGAATATGTCACTTTTCGCGACTAAAGTATTTTAGCGACTAAATGGATTAGTCGCAGTAATGATATATTTAGCGATCAAAAATTTAGTCGGTAAATCTAACTTTTCCCGACCAACAAAAATTTTGGTCACGAATTACTTTTGCCGACCCTTAATTGGCTACCAAAGTAGCGACCAAAAAAATTGGTCACAGATAACTTTTACCGACTAAAAAAGGGCTTTTAGCGACCAATTTTTTGGTCGGCAAATGTGTTATTTTTGTAGTGCATATTTATAAATATATATATATATATATATATGTAAAATGTGATCCTTGTGATGGGCATCAGTTTTTTGTGCTTTGGGATTTAACTGGTTTTTGAGTAGTGCTTTAGATGCTTTAGGGTTAAGTGAATTAATGGTAGACTAACGAAGGGAGCAATGTGTAGTGTGACAATTAACCTAAAGGACGGGAATGTAAATTCTAAAAGGTCAAAGGTTCTAATGTAATGTGTAGATCGCGCGGTCCGCTCGAGCGTGGGTCTTCCCGCTCGAGCGGAGACTTCAAATTCTGTGATTTCATACAGGCTCCACGCTCGAGCGTCAGTTTTGACGCTCGAGCGTCGAATCACACCATCCAGTACTTTTTCAGGCATAGCAGATATACTGTGAGCTTGTAAACCCCGCTCGAGTGCCCTTTTCCCCGCTCGAGCGGGAAGGCCAAAACTGGAAAAACTGGAAAAATATAACATGATCGGACAGGCAACTTTGAATGCATTTTTGCATTTTGCTTCGGGCCGCGAGCTGACCGGGCAGCTCGACCCCCGTAATAATCAACGAAGTGGCAAACTTGTATACATTGACATCACAAACTTCTCTGCAAGGCACGATTCGGGTTGGATTCGCCTCTAACAACTCATAGCCTCACTGAAAAATAAATGCGAATAAAATTACAACTCAAAGGAGTTTTGTCAAACGGGATTGCCAAGAAATAAAACCTAACACCATCAAAGATCAAGTCCATCTTTTCACTAATATACTGAGAATATGGAGACTAAAAAACAAATGGAGAGGCCAAGTTCAGAGCTTGCCAATAGCACTTCAATCTTTCTTTCTTCCAGTTTCCTGCTGCAAAGAGTAATTACAGATCAGCTCATCAATATTGATTCCCTACCACCTTCATATATGCTTTCATTCATGGCTTAAGAGTCTTTTTCCTTGTTGGATTCGGTGTTTTTAGTTTGTACGTCTTTGTTGAGGCCGGTGGACTTTACATGCTTGATTGAAATTCTGTTTGGCTTCAAGATCTGTTTAAACTGTATTTTAAATATTGTCCTCTTTTAAATATGTCCATCTTTGGCAAAGTTATACTTGATCTCATAGCAATGAACCATCTCAGTGTATTAGTAAATAGTGTTCTCGATTTTAGGTCTTGGAAGCACAAACTTTTCCCAACTTGGTGAACATGGCACAACCACCCCACAATAAAGAACAATAAAGAGGACAAGAAAAGAGAAACAAAATGGTCCAATGGCTTACAAAAGAAGTATGACGAGATATCAAAGCTTATTTAGAACCAATTAACGAAAATGACAAGACAGACATACCCACTAATATTGGCAACATGCTCACATATTATATAATAAACAATAAATCCAACCAAAAATTGTTTGGTTTTGCATAGAGCGAGGGGTGTGCCTTGTTAGCAGAACTGAGAGAGAGAGAGAGAGAGAGAGAGAGAGGGAGGGATTAAAACCCTACATTAATTCCTTTTTGTATTGCTTCTTGTTTTTATGAAAGAAAAAGTAGTTGTTGTAATCTTTTGTTCTTTTCAGTGCTTGCCTATAACCATTGATGTGGGAACAAACAACGAGAATTTGTTGAACGATGAGTTTTACATTGGACTCAGACAAAGAAGGGCAACTGGGCAGGTTCAAATGGCGACTAAAAAAAATTTAGTCGCTAAATTTGCCACAATTGGCGACTAAAAAAATATTTTTGTCGCTGTATAGATAGTTTTGGCAACTAAAATAATTTAGTCGCTAAAAGAAAAATAAAAATTTACTTTTTATCTTTGGCGACCAAAATTTTGGTCGGTAAAAAAGTAATTTTAGTCGTCGTATAGATAGTTTTGGCACCTAAAATAATTTAGTTGTTGAATGAAAAACAAAAAAATTATTGTTTATCGTTGGCGACCAAAAGTTTGGTCGGCAAAAATTTAATTTCAGCGACAAAAAAATATTTTAGTCGCTGTATAGATAGTTTTGGCGACTAAAATAATTTAGTCGGTGAATGAAAAATAAAAAATTATTGTTTATCTTTGGCGACCAAAAGTTTGGTCGGCAAAAATTTAATTTCAGTGACTAAAAAATATTTTAGTCGCTGTATAGATAGTTTTGGCAACTAAAATAATTTAGTCGCTAAAAGAAAAATAAAAATTTATTTTTTATCTTTGGCGACCAAAAGTTTGGTCGGCAAAAATTTAATTTTAGCGATGTACGGGAAAGAAATAAACCTTCTCGTATAATCCTGTTGATCAAGACTGCGCTCCTCTGTACGTCGTCGCTTTATCACCTGAAAACACAAACGTGAGCTAGCCGGCGGGTGTGTGCCGGAAACCTCTCCGATGCCTAAGTCAGTAAGCTTGACAAATAGACAAAGCTCTATGTTCTCAGGAAGAATTGTGTTAAAAAATTACCTCCTCCAAGGTGGTGCTTGTGAGCTTTTATAGGTTTCGAGTGGCATAATCCTAGTAGGACTTTTATTTCTCCATGCAGAGTCCTCCTAGGATTCATACTCCTGAAAGATAATACTTATCCTTCAACACCCCCTCACTGCTTAAACCAAGTGAGATGGTTATTATCATGGCCAAACTCCCATCTGACCGAAGTACCCATGGCTATGCTGAGCCACAGAGTAAGCCGTACTATCATTAGTTCGGTTCTTCCGCTCGTTACACCTTATCTTGGTTCTCTCATGCACGAACCATGGTGTGTTTGGACCGAGCTACCGAGTAGCAAGGTTCTGACCGATCTATCCAGAATACGTCATGACCGGACTAACTCCGAGACCGGCCTAGCCCCAAGTTGCCCGGACCGAAGTAACTTATCATTTCTTCTGGGCCGGAGTAACTTTATCTCTCTTGGGCCGGAGTAACTTTATTTCTCTTGGGCCGGAGTAACTTTAT